GCACCTTCCTGGTGGGAAAGGTGGAGGGAGGTGACTGGCAGCGGAGAGGGTGCTGCCCCCACCTCATTCTGGTGACTCTTTCTGGGGGTGATTTTGGAGACTCCCCTTGGGACCAGTCTTTGCAGCTGGGTTAGAGATGGGGGTGGGCAGGAGGGCAAAGGGCCAGAGACAAGAACTCTGGGGCTAGCATCTAGCTCCAGCTGGACCACTAATCCATCACGTGACATCTCTTCAAAGAAGTCACCTCTCAGAGACCCACTTGCCTTTCCTTGCCCATCTCAAAGTACCCTTGGAAAGCTCCCAGGAGATAACGGATGTGCTGGGACTTTGCAAGGCTCCAAGCCCTTGGGTTTGGGGTGCGGTAACTCTCACTGGCTGAGCAAAGAGGTCACCAACAGGCCTGAGCCAGCCACCGTGAGTCTTCAGGCCGTTTATGGTCAGTCCCCAGACTTGCTGCTGTCGCCATATCCTGGCCACACCAGGGACCTGCACCTTCTTGTGTATCTCCCACCAAGGCAAGCCTAAAACTTAGGGAAAGCAAATACAACTGTACGTCAGGCCCGTGTGGAGAACCTGAGGTCACTGATGCTGAGTATCCCCCCGAGACCTCCTTTCCCCATATAATCCTTTCATTTTACTCTTCCTTTTCCCCATGGTCCCTCAGAGGAGGGAGGAGGACGTCAGCTTCGAGCCCTGCTGTCCACCCAGCTTCCCTACCTTAAGCTCAAATTGTCCTGATCCCCATTCGTTCGTAAGAATGGGAGTCTCAAAAAAAAAAAAAAAAAAGAATGGGAGTCTCCAGGACCCCCTGCCTCCTCAGTGAGGGGCCTGTTGGCTCTCGTTGAGGCTGTTCAGCCCAGCAGCTGCCCAGAGGCCCATCCCAGAATTCCTGAAGACTATCTGGGTACCAGATTTGGGCAACAACAGCTGTGCTAATCCATCCCAAGAATTCCAGACTCTTCTGCCTGGCTGATCCCCCTTGTTTAACCTAGTGAACCCTTGAATCAGTTGACATTTAAGGCTACAATTCTGTATTAACCCAGAGCACAGAAATTCCCAAAGTGATTTTACACGGGTGCGATTGCCACCGCCAGGGCCTTGGCCAGTAGCCTCCCCTTGCTCTGCAGACACACAAGCGCCCCTCGTGCTGAACTCGTGAGTGTCCAACTCTGCCCTGCTGGTCTCTAGGAATTGCTTCTCTTTCCTCTCTCTTACTCTTCAACCACCACCCCTCTGCCACCCTGCTCCCTCACAGAGCTTCAGTTCCTTGGGTAGGTTGCCATAAACAAGGTGACAGCTATAAAGGAATCAAGTTTTAAAGTAATTGTACTCAAGGAATTTGGGGACCAGGGGAATTTCCCAGAGGAATGAAAATTAGCAGTGTGGTGACCTCTTTGGAAAAGCGCTGCTGTGTTTAATAAACCCTAGTTCACCAGGCCTGCCAGCTTCTGTTTCCATTCAAAAACATGATCAGAGGATGCATGAGGGGGGATCCCCCAAACCCAATTATTCACCTCCATGGAGGAGCCATGTTGTAAGAAACCCCCAAACCATTTCTCCTTGGCCTGGGCATATTTTTCCAAACTCTCCAAGGGAAAGGACAAGGTTTCTGTGGCCGAATCCAGAAATGAGCTTCCTGACTTTCCCTGTCTAGTTATTTGGCGTCCTGACAAGCTGCCTGTTCCTTCCCATCCTCTGAAGCTCTGCAAACAGGACTATCCGGGGTCCTCCAGGTGCTGCTTCTGTGGTGTGGGCAGTGGGGGGACGCCCCTCCAGGCGGATACCTTTGGAGGTGGGTCGTGGGTGCTTCAAGCCACAGGTGATTCCCATGCAAAGTGCTGGCCTCCTGCTCAAAGCCAAGGAGCTCCAGCTGGTCCCTTTTCTGCCCGCTTGCCACCTGGCTGGGCTGCTCTGAGTCAGCACAGGCGGAGCCTGGCCGCACAAAGGCACAGTGTGTTTGGCTGAGAGTGGGTGTGAGGCTGGTCCCCAGTCTCTGTCCTCATGGAGCTTACAATCTAGTAAGGGACACAAGCCAAGGATGGCCCCAAGAAGGGAAGGGCTCAAAATCACACGCAGAGGGCCAGGGGATCCCAGCCCAGCAGGCTCTGCAGACCCTTCTCCCCAGACCTAGAATTAGAGACCAACTTGCCTCTGGGCTGGATCTCAAGCACTACAGGTTCCTCACTAGTGGGGCCTGAGATATGAGTCTTTCTCTCTTCATTGACAAGGCAGGTGAGGGGCTTACTAGATGGAGTTGGCTGTTCCCCAGACGGAGTTGTCTGGCTGTTTGTCTCCCAGAGCCCACTCAGCCCTCTGTCCTCCACAACCTCCCTCTGCTTATGTTCGGCCTGACAATTCTATTAATGCATTAATCCCTGCTGGGCCCGAGGAGCATTCCCCCCGAACATGCTTACGGCTCTGTCTGGGGTCCTCCAGGGACAGGCTCTGGTGGAAGGTGGGGGGCGCAGCACGCGGCCTCCTGTCTGGGGCTGGGGTGAGGCTGGGATTGGAATCTGGCTGGAGATTTTGGTGGGAAGCAGAGTGATTACTTGGAGGGACGAAAGTGGGCAAAGCAGCTTCCTTTGTACGTCAGGCTGTGGCTGCTCTGAGGGGAAAAGGGGGTGCAGGGTGGCACGGAGATGCAGGGCCAGCAGGCGTCTCGTTTCTGCCCTACCCCGAAACTGAGTGCGCATGCATCCATCTTGCTATCTGCTTAGGGAGGCTTGTTTTTTCCTTGCTCATCATCCGTGGTGAAGAGGAAGCTTAACAGAACATGGGAATGTGCTGTAGACTGCCAGAGGAATGACTAGGATTCCTTGTTGCCACCCCTCGGGGGCCTGTGAGGTGTTTAGCCGAGCATGGTGTTGAGCACACAGGTCTCTCGGTGGCACCCAGTCAGGCTGGCAGCCACAGGTTTGCAGAGTGGGTCCTCTAGGTGGTCAGACAGGATGCGCTGTCTCAGTTCCCTAACTGACCAAGCATTTCCAGAACCCTCTCCTTCTAGCTGCCAGGGTTGCCTCCTACCCTCCATCTGGTGGAATTTGGAGTCTTCCTGGCAAATCTCTCATTTATTTGTGCAGAAATCCCAAATAGGCACTGAACCAAAGGCAACATTCAGGCTGAGGGCAGAGCCCAGAAAAGGGAGCTGCTTCTTGGTATTTGTCTTCGCTCCCTTGAAACCTTCCCTTTCTTCTGCTTTTTCCAGCTTTAGACTACTGCTCGCATGGCCCCAGGGTTTCCACTCAAGGGGACCTCGGCTGGCCTCAGTGGGAAGGTGTGAGACATTCCTTGGTCCTTATGTGTCATAGAGGGAGGCGTTAAGTGAATTCTGGTGTGGCACATTCATGCCACAGCCCAGCAAGTTATTAGGAGACTGTGGGTCAGGAAATGCATGTTCTCATTTTAGTGGGGTGGGAAGGAGGCAGGGCCTAGATCCTACTTCCAACTCTGCCATCGCTGAGTGGGTGTGCAGTTACTGATTGCATCCATGCCTTGGTTTCCTCCATCGTTGGATTCTAGAGCTTTCCCAGAGCCTCTTTGGTTCTAACAGTCTAGGCTGTAAATACAGTGGGATTCAGCCATTAACTTTCAAGTCAGTTCCATAAAGAATCATCTAGTTGGAATTACCCACAGAGGCCCCACCTTAGCCCCCAGGTGGGCAGGGTCAGAAAGAAATTTGAGTTCACCTACACTGCCTCATCCTCTTCACCAGAGTCCCCCTCCCCGATGACGATACACACCCATGACAGAGTTTGGTTCGCCACCAGATGTGATCACTGGGACCTCCTTCTGGTCTACCCCCAGCTTCGCGGAAGGAGCTATGGCTTTTCATATGGCATGCACTGGCATGCACTGGGCACATCTTCACACACTGTACCCCCCCAACCCCTTCTCCATGAGGAATGTCATTAGGATAACCCAGTCCAGTCACCCGGGAAGGAGACCGCCCTAGTTGGCACCACTGCAAGCCCCGTATCAGGGTGTTAATTTCTTTGAACACTTACTCCCTGGTGGGCCTAGTGTAAAGTTGCAGGAGAAAACCCAAGGCCAGTGCCTCTGGTCAGCGAGGGGGCAGGGATGCCATCCGCCCCCTCACTTATCCCCCTGCCTACCACCTACCCTGGCACCCAAGCCACTGTTTTCCGGGCCTGGCCCAGTAACCCATCTGGGCCTCTCACACCCCACCTCATCCCACCCCAAGTTAAACTCATCATCAAGAGGGAAGCCCTTATTAGACATACATGTTGTCACCACAGAGGTGAATAGGACTAAGATTTCTGTAAAGAACAGATCTGAAAACAATTTAAAATAAGAGCATGTGATACAGTTTCTTAGGGGGACACAGAGTATTCTGTAGAGAAGAAGAAGCCAGTGGGTTCACAAGATGCTTCACAGAGCTGGGCTGCAGCCCAAGTGTGGCCTGGCCAGAGGGGTCGGCCAGGGTGGGAGAGGGGCAGGGTGTGGACCACCGAGTTTGCTATTTAGATGACTGTGAGGTTCTCCCTGCAGCCCTTTTTCCTTTCTTGGTGTCCTGAAGTCACAAGACTCCCCTGCGGCGGGCTGGAGATCAGCTGTGTGGGCTGACAGAGGTGGGGAGGGCAGGCTTCCGTGAGCTCAGGGTGGGCCACCACCCCAGAGGAGATGACAGTGTAGGGGGGAGGGCCTGGGAGAGACTGGATAAGAGAGGGCAAGCTGGCCCTGCCGGGGTGGGGCGGGGGCAGGGAGGCTGAAGGAGTGCGCGTCCAGTCCGGGAAGGAGGGATAGAAATGATAAGCACTCACAAGAGTAAGCACAAAGGGGGCTTCCTCCCTGCTCTGCATCCTGGGACCTGATACAGAGAATACCGCAGTGATCGTGCTTAGGAGCAACGGGGAACTCAGTCTAGAGACCCCAGCCTGGCCCCACCTGCACCTACGGTACGGACTTCTCCCTGTCGTCTATGCCTCTGCAGGGAGGCCAGAGCGCCAGCCCTTTCCAGTGTTCCCCACATGGGCACTGACCCCCTCTGCGCCAGGGCTTCCTCCTGCCCCTCCCGCCATCCCCTGCCCCCGGGGAGGCGTCCCAGCGTCCCAGCATCGCGGTGCAGCAGAGTCTGGTCCTCTTGAGGCTCTTCTTCTGACCCTGAGTGTGGCTGCAGCGCAGGTTGGGGAGGGGGCCAGTCCTTTCCACGAACGGCCGTTAGCCACATGGCAGCTTCCTCTCCACGCTGCCCCTCCCTGGGGAGGGCTAGAGTGGGGGCATGGCTTCTGGTGACAGAGGCTGTATCCATGCTGAAAGCCAGCCAGAAGAGGACCCTGCTGCCTGGGCCCCTGGGCCCCTGGCCCCGAGGTGAGATCAGCAGAAGAGGCTGCCCTTCCTCCTCTCTTCTCTGCTTTCTTTCCATTCTCCCCAGCCTCCCTGGCCATGTGTTTGAAGAGCTTTTTTCTCTAATGGGTAACAAGCCAGGCAGGCGGCTCCTATCCCATGGAGGTGAGAGAGACCCAGTGTTTCTTCCTTCAGTGTTTCCTTGTTCAGCAAAAATCTCAAGAAGTTGTGTTGTCCCACACGTGGGCATGGAGTCACCTCCGGACTCCCCGCCTGACTGTCCACCATCCCAGCAGTGGGGAAAACGTGACCTGCTAATTATCTTTTCAGCCTCCTGCTGAAGTCCTAAAAGCAATTCTCAGAGCTTCTCCCTGCATCCCGGCTTGGGTGAAATGAGCCCACACCTGTCCCGATGACCTGTCTGCCTTCGGAGCTGCTCGGCATCTGCTATCTTGGTCCTGGTTTTGATGCGTCATATCCACATCCTGCCTTGACCTTTCCTGAAGTGAGGGGGAGTCACAGGGGAAGGTTGAACAGATGCACAGGAGGCCATGAGTGACACCAAGTGGGATGGGGATTGGGGGCCTCGGGCGGAAGCCCCCACCTCACCTCTGGATGACCACACACCCCTGATTCCTCCCCAGCAATTCTTCCTAATCCCCTCGTATCTTAGCGCCTCCCAGATCAGCTTTCTGAGATGCAGAATCCCTTTGCCCTACATTCTCTCTTCACCCCTCCCCCAGCCACATCTCAAGCTGACGTGCCCCCACTGACTGCCCTCAGGTCAGCTGGGACGGGGCATGGTACACACAGCTACGACTCTCTCTCTCTGGGGCGGGGCAGTTGTCTTTACAAGAACCGCGAGCACGGCACAGCAGCCCCTGGAAGGTCTATTCAACTTTGATTGACATGACCAATGTCTGCGCAGCACTCACCATGGGCCAGGAACTGTCCCGGGCTTAGGTACGCTGCGAGGTCTGGGGGCTCAGGCTGGCCTCTGCCTTTCTTTCTCTGGCCCAGTCTTCTCTGGAGTCCGGCAGACGCTTCTCTAACAGACGGGAGACGGGAGTGTCTGCAGCACAGAGAACCTACCCCCCCACACCCCCCCGCCCGCCTGATACAGTCAAGGCCATGGATGTCCTGGGACAGGGCACCACCACGGGGCCCCGGCCTGGTGCTGGCTGTGGCCTCTGTCTGTCTTCTTTTCGGGGAAGTGTCCATCAGCTTTCTCCCCCAGCTTGGAGGGATTAAAGGGAAGCCCTGATACCCTGATTCTGCAATTCTTCTGCCCTTGCATCTTGTCCTTTCCTCCCACCCACCCTCCCCAGGCCTCGCCAGACGGCACCCCGTCTCAGCTAACGCGGGTGGGTGTGGTGGGGAGGGTGCTCAAGGACCGGGGGCCCTGGGCCCCCCTTTCTTGCTGGCTGAGGAGCCTAGAGCCAGCCCTGGCCCTCGGGGAAGTCGGATGAGTTGGACAGATGCTTCCAAAAGACGCCTGCACAAGAGACGGGGCTTCCTGCCCTCAGGTCACTGGGACTGTAAATGGAAATGCTCCCTGGGGAGGCAGTCTCTCTTTTCAGGGGTCTAGCTTCGGCCTACTGAATGCCCTGCAACTTCTACTTTCTCGTGCTCTGTTGGAAGTTGCCTTGCTCCTTTTGTGCTCCACTCCCGAAGCTGCACCTGTCCTCAACCTGAGGCAGAAGGGTGCCCCGTCTGCCCCCAGCACCCTGTTCTTCTTACCGCCCCAGCCCAGCCGCACACCTGTGCTCAGGATTGACCAACAGGGCGTGATGGAAAAGAAAGAGGTGAGGCCGCACCTTGACAGCCTCCACAGCGCGGGGGAGGCCCAGGCCTGGGCTTCCGGCCTGGACTGGCGGTCAGCACCACGGGAAACGCTTTCTAGAAGCACAGGCACCCGAGCCACCTCCCAGAGCTTCCAGCCAGCAAGTCTGGAGTGGGCTTTGTTGGGCTTGGAGACAAGAAGCAGGTTCCTCACTCAGACAAGAGACAGTTCTCCTCTTTATCCCACCGACAGTCTGCAAATGGGGGGTGGGTAGGGAAAAGAGGTGCAAAAACCGCAGTTGGGAACAGTTGTCTATAACAGTTACCAAACTTTTGGAAAAACAAGAAGCAACAAAGAAATAAAAGCAGGAGATAATTAAGTACATCATTGTACACACCACTTGTTAATTAAGCTTTTACTCCGAGAACCTGACAGAATCTGCTTATAAGGTGAGAGCGTGCGGGCAAGTGGCATATGGCAAGCCATCTGCAATGTGAATGCGCTGTCAGAACTTCCCTGCCCCGCAAAGAGCAAGAGATGCTAAATGTGGTTTTCCGGAGCGAAGCGATTTATCTTCATTCTCTGCAGAAGAGGAGCTGATGGTTGGGAGGGATGAAGAAAGAAGGGCAGGAAGGGGGGCGGGGGTGCGGGGTGGGGGTGGGTCGCTCCTCTGTAAGGCTCTGACACCACGTCCTCCACGCAGACCACACATCTCAGCCAGGAGAGGCCAGGAGTGTTCTGGGGACCCCTTGGATTGTTTACCTGCCTGAGAGCCAGTCCTTAAAGGCGTGTGACACGCCCAGGAGAGGAGGCACGGCTGAGGGCTCTGATTAGCTCCTCTCTAAAACGTTCCTGTGCTGCGGGTGCAGGGGGATCGCAGGCCTGTGGAAGGTCCTGAGAAAGGTGGATGGATGGGTGGGGGCGTTGAGAGCCCCCTTGTTTCTCGACGGCCAGTCTCCGCCTGCCATTTCACCATTAGCGTTTCCGCTGTCAGAAGTCCTTCACCTCCTCAAGCCTGGTTCCTCAGCTGTAAAATGGAGATAAATTAGCTACCCAACCGCTGCCCTGGGTTGTTGTAAGACCTGATAAGGTGATGCAAATAGGGTGAGGTTTACCTGTGAATGGAAGTGTCATTAAATGACCGTCAGCCTGGAGTCCTGCAAGCTCACACCTCTGCTTTCAGTTAACCCCTGACCTGCAGAGTCCCAAGCACGAGTAGAGAGCTCGGCAGGCCCAGGGCCGTGGACCCAACCCCGCCCCCAGCCCCCTTCATTCTAAGGGCTTTCCCAGTTCTGCTGCTTTGGCTCTAAGACTCTGCACGTCCAGGCTGCTGGAAGAAGGGGGGCAACGTGGGAGATGGGTTCTTTTGGATTAACCAGTAGCTGGCCTCCAGGAGACAGGCTTGGTGGGAACAGAGCAGGGCTGGGGTGTGGACACCGCCCTGCCAGGCCCCCACCCCAGCCCACACTGCCAACTTGGGCTCGCTCCCCAGCCCCTCTGTACTCAGAATATGGCAACCCCCCCACCCCCGCGGAGGGGGGCGCTGCCCTGGCCCCGCGCCCCCCAGGCCCTGTCGCGACCCCACCCCCCACCCCACAGAGGGGGGACTGCCCTGGCCCCGCGCCCCCCGGGCCTGTCGCGGTGTGGTCACACAGCACAAAGCACGGCGACCTGTGTGTGCCAGCCCCCAGCCTTCCGCCGTGGACCCCCGAGTTGGGAATTGCTCTCTGCCCAGATTCAGGCCAGAACCCCAGCCTTTTGCTTCTCTACCCCCAAAGCTGTGTGTGTGGGGGGCCCTCCACCTCTGTCGGTGGGCATCCATCCACTGTATACTTGTGGGAGATTTTCCCTCCCCACACGTGTTCCAGGGAAGGCCCTGTTGGGCTGTGGAGACAAGGCTGCCTTGCTTCCGGGCTCCCGTCACCTGCCACCTCTAGCTGCCGTTCCAGCAGGGCCCACCGTCCCTGTGCTCCATGGTGGGCTCACGGTCCCCTTCCTGCCACTGCTCTGGCCCTTTCACCAGGAGCTCATTCTCTCACACAGGGAGCCCTGGGAGACCCCTGCTACCGTCACCCGAGAAGGACCCTGTGTGGACCCCAGTCGGCTCCCTAGAGGGAAGGGCCGTGCCGGGTCATCATGACCGGATGGAATGGACACTAAGCTCTGCAAAGCTGTCCGGGCCTTTGCTTCTGGGGCACCTGAGCACAGACCTTCTCATTCTTTTCTTCCCTGAGGAGGTGGCCAGCAGCTGAGATGGGGGAAGCGGGGGGCATGGGGCGCCCAGGGTTCCAGGCTGGGCTGACACACCCACTGGTCTGGCCCTCCCCTTCTTTGAAAGTAGATGACAGTGTTGATCCCGGGAAAGACACAGGTCCCTTGAAGACAAAAACCCTTCACACTCCCTGTCTCTATGGATTTATTACTCTCTGCATCTTATTAACAAAGGAAACCCCATCACAGAAACAGACTCTTGGCGGCAGGGAATCTCAGAGGCGGTGAAGTCTGCACCCCCTTGCTTTACAGATAAGGAGAATCAGCCCCTCTGGGCAGGGGTGACTTGCCCAAGGGCACCGAGGTGACAGGAGAACACCCTGCCCCAAGACCCCAGCGTGCACCAAGCAGGTGGAGAAGGTGGCTTCAGTACGGAGGTGGCGAGCGAGGAAAAGAGGAGCAGCCACTTTGTGGCCACCACTGGGAAGGTGGTTCTTCAGGACAGAACAGAAGGGTGTCCCAGGGACGGGCAATGGCTGCTGTGTTTCTGAGAATGAACCCCTTTTTGTATGACTAAGGGCCAGAGCTCCCATAATTCTTTCTGATCAGCTGGGATATCTTGGGGGAATAAAGGTGGAACTGGGGCTTGGGGTGAGGTAGGAAGTGAAGACCAGAGAGGCGAGCCGGGAGGGAAGCTCGTGTCCAGGCCCAGATCCAGACGGCAGTCTGTGGCCCGGGACGGGTGAGAGCTGCCTAGGCAGCCTCTGGCTTGGGTAGGGTCTGCCCCGCCGCGGGGAGCGCTGAGTCAGCACAGAGCTTGGCTGGAGCAGATCGGGCACCCACAGGAGTGCCTAAGGAACCATGGGCCCTCGTTGTCCCTGGAAACTTGG